ATATTACTAAAGAAGCTATAGATCAGCTCGTTTTACTTAATCCAAATATCTATGTTGAGGATTTCATGAATTCTATGGATATGCGAGCTGAATTAGATCAAGAGATAGGACGGATATATAACATTCGGCATAGTGTTGGTAATAATCTGAATTGAGTTCTACCTCAGTTATACCAGCATCTTAGTTTCATGACGGTTGACTCTGGTGACGATTACCACATTATAGCTATGAACAGACATTCACCGACTCGAGGTAATATTTTCACCTTAATGTTGAGAGCTGGTGATAGAATACTAGCCGATCAAGCAGAATGCTGGTACTTTACCGATTTAACTGATCTGGATTAGCCGAATAATCTACATATTTTTATCGATTTTGAATATTAACACTAATATTACACGGATATGGAATCCGAAATAGATTTATTAAAGCAACGCATTACTGAGCTTGAAGCTAGGAATGTCGAACTTGAAACTGAAAATGCTGAAATTCCTGAACTTAGAAAGAAACTTACCGAGATTCCTGAACTTAGAAAGAAGCTTACTGAGGTTGAAGCCAGAAATGCGGAGCTTATGCAACGAATGATGGAAGAGAATAACCAATATGATGCTAGAATTGAGCTTCTAAAAGCGATTGAGGAGAAAGATATCAGGCGTGATGTTAAAATAGCTGAGTTTGAGGCCAAGATCGAAGAGCTAGAGAAAAATAGGACAGATATCGTTGCTGAGAATGCTGAACTTAGATCTAGAGTTGTGAAATTGGAACAAGATATAGTGAAACTTAAAAAAGAATTAGAGGCAAAGAAAAATCGTAAGTTTCAGGAGAAGTGTATTCTAATTGCTCAAGTATTGCTTGGAGAAGAACCCATAGTTGAGTATCACTCTCCTTTCTTGAATGGATTAGAGCTTGATGCCTTCTTCCAAAAATATCGAATTGCATTGGAGGTGCAAGGGGCTCAGCATCGACTTCATAGCACTAGCTGGTATAAGGATGTCAAAAAACTCAAAGACATCGTTAACTGTGATCGGCAAAAATGATGCATATGTCAAGATAATGGAATTTTTCTTCTTGAAGTATGGTACAACGAAAAACCGGAAATCGTTATTCCAGAAAGGATAAAGAAAATTAAGGAGTTCGTTGATCAAGCATCCAAAAGTTTCGACCTCCTATAATCAATTGCATTATAATACGTGTACTCTATGTTTAAATTGCAGATAAATATTGCAAAATCGGTCGATATTCCTAAACCAATTTTTGAGGCGCTCCGTACTTCATATAAAAATGAGTTAAAAAGGTTATGTCCTCATCAAAATATGAGCCATTAGCATAGGAACGTCATTTATATTATTTTTTTTTGTGAAATTGCATTAATAAAATTATTTCTTGGCATTTGTTTTCCAAGACCGATGGTTCTACAAAAATCCTTCCTGAGAACGTTCCACCAAAAACTGAGGTGAGTGTTTCAACTTGAGCTGACAGAGGCAAAACTTTGGGATGGTAAGATTTCTTGCGAATTTTCCATAATACTGATTCGGGTCACCTGATCCATGTTCAGGATGTCATGTGACAATTAATCAGACACGTATATACACCCGCATTCTTGCGTCATTTGCTCATAAACCATGTCGCAAGCAAAAAAATTCCTTAATTCAAGATGCTACAAAAGAAAACAAAAAGGACTGAATTCAGTAATTATATTTCTTTGTGTGTCAAGTCCCTTTCCTTTAGGTTGCCTTTGTGAGATCACTCTTTTTGATGCAGTGAAAGGGTGTCATCATTTCACATACTGTAGTGTGATTCCCGTTCGATCCATTTGTTGCTTTCGCAAGAGTGGTTTGTTCATAGACCGCAAGGGACATACAACCTAGAGAAGTTTCCCTGAATAAGGTCTACTAATTCTGGAGAAGGAATTGGTTACGTTCCTTCCTTATTAAAGGAACTTACACTTTATACATTAAAAAATATCCTTACTTAATGAGCACATTTCATTAACAAGATTTTCTATTATTAGAATGTTTCAGTGGATGATAACAAAGAAAACCTAGCACCACCACATTTGTCTCCCCATTCGAAACGATTAAAATATCAAGAAGGTTAATATTCAAAATGGCATCTTTATTCATAGTAGTTAGTTTAATTCTATTTTTCTTTACTGCAGAACACAAGAAGACAGTCGAATTTTCCCTTAATTCAGATTGCCCCTCAACTGCTGCCAAGCCTGAGAAATTCTTCAAACTTCAAGAAAAGAACCCAATTTTCAATAGGCGACCACTTAAAAATACCGGTCCTCCCATCTTTCTCTATGATAGTGTCTTTGGCTAATTTCTCAACGATTTTGAGAATGTGGATTTAGAGATACCTTTCGACCATTACATATGGACTCAGAACATTATTTACGAAGCAGCAAAGCATTATAAAATCGAAAATCAACGCAGAGAAGTCCTTAGAGAAAGGCTCTCACAAAAGTTAGGACCTATAATCCTACAGCAATATGATGGAAAACATATATGTGATGGAGTAGCTATAACCAAAGTTTCAAGATTATATATTGGCTATCAATTGTTTCTCGAAGTGAAGAACGAGATTGGTTCGGGAGGAAGTGACCCCACTATTCAAGCCGCCATTTATTATCGAGATCACTGGGCTCAATCTATTGTAAGTTATTCAATCCTTTGATTAATTGTGCAATACTAATATCTGATATGTTCACTATGTTACTTATGTAGTCTAGTCCAGTTTGAGAATGTTGCTGTGCACCATCATTCGTCATCACTGTGGCAGGACCATGGTTATGTATCCTTGGATGTATATTTCTAGAAAAAGTAATTGTTCAGCCATTGACGGATCTTATTCCATTCACTATAAACATGGAAGACTATGAACAATTGGAACGGATTGCTCGGCTTTTTCAAGCGCTGTATCTTGCTGTTTGTCGCCTTGAAGATTTCTACAAGGGTTTGAACCTGATCCCATCTGAACAGAGATTCTTTCCATATCTTAATAAGTATCAAACTGAAGACAACAAAACTATTTCTTTTACTTATCTCTATCAGTTCGAAGGATCCTTAAAATTTCTATGGAAGGCTGAGACAATTGATGGGTGCTTAATTGTTGTAAAACTCGCCCGGGAATATAATGCTGATGCACATCAACTCTGTGCCCAGAAAAGGCTCGCTCCACGGCTGTTATGCGTTAGCAAGCCCAATGAACTGCGAAAATTTCAGATGATTATAATAGAATGTGTCGCTGGTACCGTTCTGAGCAAGAAAGACAATGTCAATACGGAACTCTATTTGGATATATTTAATAGTGTGACGTCTATTATTAATCTGCTTCATAAGAACAACTTTGTATTCGGTAATCTTCAACCCTCAAATATTCTTGTAGTAAATGCGGATGGTCAACAACAAACAATGCTAATTTCTTTTGATTGGTGTGGTAAGCACCAGGTGAAGAAATACCCACCATCAATAAATAATGATTTGTCACTGACAGCGAAACCTGGTGCTTTACTTAACAAAGCACATGATAATTTTTGGTTAGCTAAGTTGCGGGAGTTTTTGATGTTGATATGAGAAAAAGTTTATCTTTTTACTTATATATAATATATTTTAACTGATGTAATATATGAAATATGTTAAGGTTATTTGCAGAAATTAACACGTGTAACATCTAATTAATATGTATAATCTCAATAAAAAAATTTGCACTTATATTTCTTAACGTATGCGATGTGTGAGTGTGTATAATTTTAAGAAAAAGTATTATTTGATTTGCGATAATATCAAAGAGTCGGAAATCCCACTTGATGAGGGTATTCTAGGAATACAGTCTCGGTAGCGGTAGAATGGATCATGTGAAACTGATCACCCAAAATGCGCAGTACGATATTACTTGTCAGGTTATACGACGTGCGAATCGCATATATATTCACATGATTTTTTTCGACTTGATTTGCATTTATTTTTTAGGTCATGTCTCCGGCATGCTATTAACAAAACAATATTCGGGTATGGATATTTTCCCGACAATTCTTATTTCGTATATAGGATTTGGGGACGCATACGCTAATCCTTCGTCATTTTTATTGATTTGCAAGAGGATTGACGGAATGACGAAATGCGGTGCGTAATTGCTAGTGAAGATCTGGGGAATGTTTTCTCCTGCGAAATTTAGCAAGTAATATAAAACAAAATGATCTTTTTTTTGCTCAAGACTCTTCAGCCGTATACGAAGAGGTATAGATAGAACACACATTGTAGCGCTCGCAAAAAATATCCTCCGTTATACTAGCACCCTTGCTACACATATCGGTATCCCAGATGTGAATCCATGCTCATTATGTGGAAAAGAGATTTATTCTGCATCGAACCCGCCATACAAAGAATTTACCCTAGCTTCGTGTAGACACATCTTTCACCAGAAGTGTCTTGAAAAGTATCTGGTAAATGGAGAAGCGCGATGCCCGAATAAGGATTGTAATAGAGATATTGAAACTTTTCTCTCTCCGGATCTTTTTAAGGAAACGGGCAAACCTACATCCTCAACTGCAGATATCACTAAGCCAGTTGATTTGGGAAATCAAACTCCCGTGGATAATGATGTAACACTAATGGACGAACTAGGATTATTAGGCGGAGAGGAACAAAGTTCGTCCAAGACTACCGACAAGGCATCAAGCTCTATTCAGATCATTAAAGAAACTTCTGACCAGGCAACTAGCCCTATTGAGGTTGTTAGCACTACACCTGGCAATTCTGAAAATGTGGATGACTCAATTTCAAAGGACTCTAGCGGACAAATCTAACGCCCTATATGTGAGAAATGCTCCGAAGACATCTCCATAGATTTCCAGAAAGATACTGTCTTTTTATCCTGCAAACATGCTGTGCATTTAGATTGCATTAATGATCTACGCAAAAGGTGTCCTACTTGTGCTTCAACTGATGATTTGGAAATGATTCCAGTAGAACAGGCTTCGAGTACCACCCAGAAATGTTCTAGTGATTTACCTGAAAAATCGTCAAGTAAGAAGCAGAAGACATCTAATAAGGAAGGCGTCCCTTCTATGCTGAAAAAACTTATCGAAGAGCTATTAACCGATAATTCCAATAATGAAGATTTGGAAGAATCGATCGATGCTTCACTAAATTCTGGTAATTTTTTTCATCTATCTAGTATGATAGACCAAGCCGAAGAAAAAAATAAAGATGCAACACAGAATGTCATCAATTGATATTTCAACTTTGGAGAGGCTTTACACTTGCGATATAAGGAATTAAAACCCAGTCGTGGTAAGTATGGAGCTGAAGCTCTCATTAAAGATGAAGTTAGGAAACAAATCTCCGTAACAGAGCTTTCTGATGAAGCTTTGCGAAAGAGGATGGAAAGAGCCGAGAAGGTCTATAAGCTTTTTAATGGTATTGGTAAATTGAAAATAGCACGAATTAGAACCTTTCCGCTAGATTTATATTAAATTTATCTGATAATAATGTTTATCATGTAATAGCTGGTGTCTTGAGAGCAAACCAATAATTCATTTACTGCACCACATTACTGCGCCCGGGCATGTGTGTCCAGATTTTTCATTTTTGAGTAGTTATGCATAAATAAAAAGTATTAGTTTGAGTTAGCGTAGCTAACACTTTGTCCTTTTTTAACTACATCGATATGTAAATTAATGATCTGCGGGAGATAACCTATCCCAATAGCTTGCCCTGATAAATTTTCTTTTTTCGAATGAATATGGTGATCGCAAATCTATGATATAATGTGAAAATGTAATATAATAATCTGATTAGCCGACCATCTTGTGATTTATTGAGCTCCTGGAACTCTCCTAAAACTATCGAGGAACTAGCAGGGAACTAGGAGATCACTGCTAAATATAATATAAAGTACTTTAGCCGAATATCACGGAAAATAATTTGTCAAAATGGTTAGATCATCCTGAATATACTGTGCCGTTTCTTTTGCGCAATTTAGACAAGCCGGACACTGTGTCTAGACTCTACCATCGGATATTCGGAGATAAATTTAACCTGATGCTGATCTCATGCTTACATTTATTTTTCAAGTGATACTATGATAAAATATTTTATTCGCTTTACAATCTATTGCCTT